ACTGTGTTGAGTTGGCATTGTACAGAAATGGACAGCCATACTGGTCTAGAAATGTTAATTTTTTTTATTTTTATTTTTTATTTCTTTTCCATGTATACAGGGGTAACACATAGTACTAAATATGTAAGGTCACATCTATGTGGATTTGTTTACAGAAACTAATAAAGTATTCTCTAAATAATGAAAAAAAGAATAAGATAAGACTATAAGAGCAAGAAGCCATTTAAATATGTTCAGGGACCATGTTCATCTCCAGAATTAAGGATTATTTTAATGTTACATCATTGCCTTTTCTCTTTTACTTTCCTTTTTAGTTTTATTTTAGGATTCCCTATTTTTAATATTCATACAGAGATTTCTTTAACTGAAATACCAAATAGTTTCTTTGGTGTGAAAAACTATAATAGCACACAGGATCCTAATGAGATAATTAATAATGTGAAATAGGAAGTAAAGGGCTAAAGGTGTAGGGAAAGTGGGAAGGGTGGGGGAAAAGTAATAAGGGAGAGGAAAAAATATGAGAAACTGAAAAAAATGGAAATAAAGTGTTTGCAAATGGGGAGGGGAGGAGGGGGTGAAGGGAGGGCAGGGACAAGGGGTAAAAATGAGAATCAAGACCTATTATGTTAAGGTACAGAATCCCAATGATGAATGTAACTGTATTGTATACCTAGATTGTACCAATAAACTGAATAAAAAGAAAAAAAAAAGAATGATGGAGGCTTGTCAAATATGAGTTTTAGTCCACAGAATTGGCAAGAGGTGGCAGAGTTTATAGCAGATATGCTTGGATGTGGCTATGTCTCCTCTCTCCCATGTGCTTCCAATTCAAATTCAGAAAGTGATGACTAACCACATTTTCTTTAGTCTTTAGGGAATCTCCTAAACATGTCTATGCTTCTATTCCCCCAGACTTGGTTAACATAATATTGCCATCTATATGAACATTCTTGATGAATATTCTTGGGTTGAAAAATATATTTTTGGGGATAAGACATAAAAAACATAGTTGATGTAGTATTGTTCCGAATATGTCCCTAGCTGGATATGGTGGCACACACCTGTCACCCCAGCAATAGGGAGGTTGAGGCAGGAGAACTGACTCAATACCAGGCCAGCATGGCCTACCTAAGTGAGTTAAAGGCCAGCCTGAACTGCATAGCAAGTTCCTGTTTCAGAAAAACAAAAACCCAAACCAAACACAGTATGTCCCTAAAACCTGGTGCAATGGGGCAGAGAAACGGCCTTCATTGAAATCATGTACCATTTAATTTGCACATTAGTGACAATTAGGGAATTGTCTAACAGGGCATGTAGCATAGATGAGGCTGATGGCAATCTATTTTAGATGGATTCCTCCAGCAGTTTTGCTCTTTTGATCTCAGAATCAAAAGGATAGTGTTTTTTAATTGAGTTTATTGGTACAATCTAGGTATACAATACAGTTACATTCATCATTGGGATTCTGTACCTTTACATAATAGGTCTTGGTTCTCATTTTTTTCCCCTTGTCCCTGCCCTGCTTTCACCCCCTCCTCCCCTCCCCATTTGCAAACGCTTATTTTCATCTTTTCATTTTCTCACATTTTTGTCTTTTCCCTTATTACCTTGCCGCTACCCATCCCACCTTCCCTACACCTTGAGCCCTAAAAAGGATAGTTCATTACTAACTGATGCTAAATGGATAGTTTAAATTGACCTCTATAAATCTGTAAGAATTTCCTAGTTGTCTCTTTGAAGCTACAGGATTTCTTACTCAGTAATTCACTAGTTAAGTGCCTAACTATTCAGTAGTACTTAACCATTTTTCTTAATGTTTGGTCTCTATGGACCCCCCCTTTTTTTTTTTTTTTTTGAGACAGGGTCTCACTGTGTAGTTGAGACTGATCTAGAACTCACTATGTAGCCCAGACTGGTCTCGAACTCACATCTATCCTCCTGCTTCAGGCTCCTGAGTGCTGGGGTTACAGGCATGCGCCACCACGCCTGGCTACTTTGGACCCATTTTGATCTTCTTCAAAAGTATAGAAAGTCCATCCACATTCTGCATAGCTTCACTCGCTGTGAGTTTAAAGTGCCTTCATACGATATGTAGGTATAAAATGTGTCAAACTGCCACAATACGCTTGCCATTGAAGTTATGTGTATTTTAAAAAGACAACCAGCTGCTTTAAGAGAAGATGTCCTAAAAAGTAAAGTACTATATATTGCATCTGTCATCTACTTTGGGACAGGTAAGTATTTAACATTTGTAAAAAGTCAGGTTTAAAACATAAAATAAGTGAAAAGCTGATACTGTTGAGAACTTAAAAACCCTTACCTTGTGGCTTCAATTTTCTGTGAAGTGCCCATGTAGAAAGGCCGATCTTCATTGTATTCATCGAGCACTCCCCAGCGGAGATGGGCCCACTCGTGGACGAGCAGCCTCCCTGTGGGAAAACATTTCAAACACTTGATCAAAATTCAGGTGACAAATCCTACATATCAAAAATTTTAATACATTTCAAGCATAAATACATTTAGGTTCAGGTTTTCCATAACTTTTAAATTTGCATTTTTGTTTATAAAAGAGGCTATTTCATTACATAACATTATATTTTTACCCTATATATTATCATTTTATCACACATGTTTCATCAGTAAAACACTTGGTGGAGTATGTACTATGGCTGGAATAGACTGATTTGGGTTTGTGTCCATGAGGATCAAAAGGTCTTCTACATTATAATAGTATACGGCTCTCCAGACTCCAAGCCTATAAGCCTCATAATTAAATATAAAGTAATTCTGTCATTTTAAATATTATGTAGCTATAATTGAAAAAAGATGTCTAAATATAAAATGATCCTGCTGGGGTTGCTTCATTTTGTTCGTGTGTGTGTGTGTGTGTGTGTGTGTGTGTATGCTGTGCTGGCCTGTAGCCATAGTTACTGCCTTGGTGGTCCCGTAACCTAGTCTCATTGTTCTTGTTATTATATTTATTAGAAAATTAGTTTTGAGGGCTTTATTCTTCATCTTTTTTTTCCCAAAAGCTTTGTTGTTTTAGGGCATGGTTTGCAAAATGTGTTTTTTATCCCCACAAACACACACACGTCACCGTATGTAATAAAGACAGCTAAGAAGGGCAGAATCAGCCACAGAATACGGCTGAGGTGTATGATAGGAAGAGTATCAAGAGCTCAGATGTGGGCATTGGTCTTAAAAATTGGAAAAGTCTTCCTGTTCTGTAACAGCTAGATATAGAGATCATATCACCTGGGTAAATCATTCAGTACTAGAGACTGAGTAAGTCAAGTAAATGCTAGGCATGAGAGTGGTGTGAGAATTGACTCATTTGTACTTGTGGTTGAAGCGTTTCCTGGACATGCCAGGTAGCAAGAAAGAACAGCTATCAGGGTGGAGAAGATTAGAGGGGCCACGGAGAACAATGCTGGTCAGGATAAAGTCTGGGGAAGATGCTAGGATTGCGATGGGAGGAGATAGGGAGCTTTCAAGATGGAAAGATGGAGTGAGGAACAAGTTCAAGTTGACTAGCGCTGGCTGAGCTTTGGCAGAGACAAGAGACTTCATGAATGCACACTTCACGGACATTTGGAGATGAGTTTGGTGTAGGGGGGCTCAGGAAAGTTTTTAGTAAATAATGTTCCATGAATTGGCCTTCCTTTATCAATAATTTGCCTTTTAAACATAATATGATTAGTTCAATCAAATAATCTTAACATTTAGATTGAAGTAAATGAAATCACAATTTTAATATGTCCTGTTGGTGGACTCTAAGGGAGAGGGACTTATTTAGGAAAGAAAGACACAAAATAGTGAGGCACAGGGGTTCAGACTTTGAGGAGCAAAGACCCAGATATTTATTTGATTTTTTTTATATCTTGTATAGTGAGCTGTTACATGTCACTATTTACAAGCTATGTTGATTATTATAGAAGTTAAAACACGATAGAAGTCATATATGGCAACAGCAAATTTTGTTTTTGGAGCCAGGCTATGGCAAGTATATGTCTGAATAAGCATATTTAGGGAGACTTTTTTATTTGTAAGGAGCAGGGAGCACCTGGGACATTTTAAGTGTACGTCTGGGAGGTCATCTTTGATAGCTTGTCAGGCCTTTATAACAACTCTGTGAATATATACACAGGTCACCCAGTGGTCTCTTGTACCAAGACAATTCCATTAAGTACAAATTTCCTTTGCCTCAAACAAAAAGTTTAAATAATCCATAGCAGTTACTAACAGCCTCTGAATGATTTCACTTGATAGGTAGCTGGGATCATGGCTGTTTCCAGCTTCTGAACATCTGGAGTCTGTGGAGCTGGAATGAGACTATTGAATATCCTCCTCCTGTGGAGAACTACAAACTTGAACTCTAAAACATATGACTTAAGAAAATACTGAGTATTGTTCATGCCCTGTCCAAATTTCTGAGGACATTGTTACACGCTACATAGAGTATATTTACATGAACTTTCTAGATTAAAAATACTACAGCACAGGGACCCCTCTGTTCACATTTGGACAGGAATAAACTCTGAGAAGGTGGACTTATTCAATGTCACACGTAACTAATATACAGAAGAACAAGTATTTGACCCGAGGATCTCTGGCTCCAAAGCCTGCTTACTTAACTTGGAAACACATTTGCTTGTTGAAAATTAGGTGTTTTACCCAAATCTCCTACCTGATGGTCCATATTCATTTTGTTTTTTGCCCAGAACAACGTCGGGGGTGAAATGAATGTATTCTGCTCTTTCTCCACACTCTGTGAACTGCTTGGTATAAGGTTCGTGTCTGCCCAGGAGGGCTTGTGGTGCAATTATAACGTCAGCCTGAAAATGTTGAAACAGGTCGTGAACACATCAAGAGCAGAAATGACAATATTTAATGAGACTGACTGCAACAATCTGCGGCAAAAGTAGGGAGCATCAGAAAATATCCTTTGTTTCTGGAGACGATGTTGATACTTACATGTTTGTAGCTCTCGTATTTTGGGCTGTTGTATTCTTCTTTTCTCAGCCAAGTCTCAGGAATCAATATAGATACATTTTTGAAAAAGAATCTTTTTTCTGTGGCTTCAAACAGGTATGTTGAAGCTGCGGTCACCATGTCCTATTATCAAAGCGGAAAAGTATGTGAGGGTGGAAGGGTAAGAGTGAACCAGCAGAGCAGTGGCTTATCTCCAGCATTTCCCACTGTTAGCTAATACACAAGCAACTGAGCTATGAGCAGGGTCTCTGCACATCATTTCAGCCTCAGCCCCTAAACTACCACTTCATCCTGCACAGTGAAATCCCCTTCAGTATTCAATCCTCTTATCTCAAAAGGTGCCTGCTTCTGCATAGTGGGTAGAGGAGTTGATTAATATGATTATGAATATGTATATGGACTTTGGAGTCATTTACTTGGTTCCATTAGTGGTGTCAGTACTTTCTGGATAGCAGATCTTGCTTCATTGTTATAGTGCTCTATAATTCAATTTCCCCACCTCTTAATGGGCCATTGCAACACTGAAGCAGGACTTAAAAAAAAAAGGTTCTTCAGTTTAGTTCAACCCTTGGGTCCTTTCCCTTTGTAGCTGTAACTTCTTGTTCTGGTACAGATACAATTAACTACGTCCTGTAAACAAAGTTTACGACATCCTGTTTTCATATGATTCATAAGACACCGTCTGTTTACAAGATTAAATCACAAAGCTGTATGCCCTTGTCCCATTCTGGTAAAGTGACAAACTCACTTGCTTTATTACTAAAAAGACCACCCCTCTTTGACCAAATTATAAAAACTAGAACTTCTCTTTGTTCACCACTTTTCCTTTGGACAGGAGTCCACTGAGCCAGCGTTGACCTAAAACCTGTGGTAAAATTTCCTGATTCCCATTGGTCTCTCCTGTCTCTTTGAATTCTGCAACAACAGTACTTATTTTTGTAGTTGACATAAAGATGGAATGAATTAGAAGGTACTCTGCACATCAGCAGTCCTGAAACTGGTATCATTTCTGATTATAAAAATTTGAGTGAAGAAAAGCCTCAGCTGATGCAAGCTGAAGAAGACAGTATAGAAATTAGTATTGAAAAGAGTTTGCCCTCTCCCTACTCCACTCCTAGCAGAGGCCGCTGGGTTGGTGCCTGATGGGTGGAGTTATGAGAATATTCACATAGAAGTAAAATTTTGATCATAGAATGATTACTATGCCAGTAAGCTGAAATTAATCACAAATCTAAAGTCAACATGGTTGACTGTTAAGCTTACTATCTAGTGGGAAAAATATATGGGGGAAGGCTCTTAGGGTGATCTTCTATGTGATCAAGTCCACTGAATAACTGAAGAACTCTTGGGGATGGGTAACGATAGAAACTTCTTCATCTTGCTGGGAACACCCCAGTCTATGGTGTTGTTTCCTTCACAACTGGTTCCTCTATGATACTTCCTGGTTTTGTAACCAAACAGTTCTCGCTGGGGGAATTTCTAGGCTTCCTTCCTGGTTTTCCGTGAGAGATTTAATGGGTTGAGGCACCTTTAGTTTGTATGAAGTCAGCAAACTGATTGGGTTCAGAACCATGGATGAGTAAGAAGGACAGAGTTCAGAGAGCTAAGGGCTGAGTGGACTGGACTTGCTGGGAGTTAGGAAAAGAGTTTGAAGAGCTCAAAAATAGGGTGGAGCTTGTTTCAGCATGGACCCAAGAGAGAGGAAGTTATTCTCTTCCATTTCTAAAGAAGCCTGTTTCCTCTTCCTCCCTTCCTCTTTTCTTCCCTCCATTCTTTTCTCCTACTCTCTTTTTTTATATTTATGTCTCATCATGTTAGTATTTTCTTCTTGAAATGATGTCTCTCTGAGATGAAGGTACTTTTGGTGGTTGAAATTGAGTTGCAGATTGAACCAATAAGGTTGCTGTGTACAGTTGTCGGGGTTGTTCCTTGTCCAATTAAAAAGGATTACACTTGCGTTGGAGTCTCCCTGGCCACACGGTTGTTTTGACCAGGGGGATGTTCTTAGGTCTAGAGACATTTGAAAGATCCGAAAGATGATTGTCATCTCCTGGGATATTCCTGGCTCACAATGCTTCCTAAAGATTTTCTAAGCAGAATTTTTGTTTTATGCAGTATTCCTTCCACATTCCTTCTCAGAATTCTATAATATTCTAGAAGTTACCAGTGTTTGCAGAAGTAACTACTTTTAAAGCAAGAAGAAATGTGAATATACAAAAGAGGAAAAGTTCAAAATTGATCGTTTCGGGCCATGAATTATGAACCAGTTCCTCATTATCTTAACTATATAGTTAGACAATATACCTAGGAGTAGGATTAAAACCACGAATTGATTCATCAGTGTTGTCTTCCTTTTTGTAGGACTGGGGATTGAACAGACAGTATCACTCAGAGCTACATTCCAGCTTTTTATAAATTATTACTTTTAAAAAATTTTGAGAAGGATCTTGCTAAATCTCTCAGGTTGGCTTTGAACTTGCAGTCCTGCCTCAGTCTCCCCAGTAACTGGGAATACACGTAAGTGTCACTGCAGTCAGCTCATCAGTTTTTTTAAAAAGTGATTCTTGTTTCTAGTTTGTTTGTTTTGTTATCTTATCCAAGCCAGAGCTCAAATCCATGTCTATCAATCTTTAAACTTATGAGTTGGATTTTATTTCTGACTGAGCTATGTAATATGAACTTGAAAAAAATCATTTGTCTTTTTAGGACCCAAATTTTCCTTTATGTATAACATGGATGATGGAATTTCACAGAGTTTTTTCATTATATAAAAATAAGGACTGTGTAGAGGCCCGAATATAAAAAAGCATCATGGTATCTAGAAATGTCTGCAAATAATTGAATTTCTATTTATGTTGTTTAATAGGGACAATATTAAGAAGTATTTCCGTTACAAATAATTCTATCAAGTAGTGATTTCTGGGTTCATAAATGTTTGAAACCAATTGATTATCTGAACACTAAAATTCTCTCACTCAGAATCAGCTGTGCTATCTGTTCCCCCAATCTGTGCTCTTTAGTAAAAGCAATCTTCATTTTCTCCTAGAATCCAAAGGTACCAATACACACACACCTCTGTGTTGCAATAGAATTTACAAGGAATGAATGACAAATGTCATCCACGGTGACAATAGGTCACCTCTCAGGTCAGGTACATTACAAAGCTTAAGCAGGACCTAGGAGTGGAGGAACTCAATAGAAAGAATAGTTAGATGCTAACACCAGGGAAAGGAAAAATAATTCACATAGCTGAAATAGCGATAGCTATGCTACATGGAATATTATAGTGGGAGGAAACTTTAGAAAACCAGAGTCCTTGGGCTGCTTCTGGAGCCATTCTCTTTCTGCTTTTACTCACCTAGTGGACTCATGTCATCTACAGACTGATGGCTTTCGAAGTTTTATCTATGTATAAATTTTCTCTGTGAATTCTGATTCCTATCTTTTCTACTTGGATGTCTAAAAAGCATCTCATCTTCAAAAAGTCCCAAACTAACCCTGCATCTTCCAACTGCCAAATATTCTCCACTCAGTCTTTCCTTCCCAGTTGAAGAAAATTCCATGCTTCTCAGCATTCAGGCAAAACCTTGAAGCCTTCCTCGATCCTTTCATTTTCATACTTCTCTGCCTCACGTACATCTAGACCATGAGGCCACATTATCTGTGATAACCTCAAAGTATCTTTAAAATCCACACTTTGATGACCTCTACCACGACCTCCCTGACCTACTCCCTGCTTACCAGCCCCTACCCTGTCCTTCTAAACTTCTACGCCACAACAGTGTTGCGGAGTGTCAACATTTGAGGAGTGACAATGCAACCCTTCCACCTTTTTCTGCACGCCTCAGAGTGATTCCAGAACACATACAAGAGCATGCACCTCTGCTCAGAAACCTTCTGTGTGTTCTCATCTCACTCAAAACAAAAACCCAAGCCTGCCCTGTGATCTGGGTGTCGCTGCCACTCCAGCATCAGCTCTTCCCACCCCTCCTACTGCTCATTCACTCTTGTTTTTTTTTTTTCCCCCTCATGGAGTCTATTGGTGCATTCTAGGTAGACAGCACAGTTACATTCATCATTGGGATCTTGTACCTTTACGTGCCAGGTCTTGGTTCTCATTTTTCCCCATACCCCTGCCCTCCCTTCACCCCCTCCTCCCCTGCTCCTTACAAACACTTTATGTCCATTTTTTCATTTTCTCATATATTTTCTTTTCCCTTATTACCTTTTCCCTACCCTTCCCACTTTCCCTATACCTTTAGCCCTTTTCTTCCTATTTCACATTGTCAGTTATATCATCAGGATCTTATCCACTATTACAATTTTTCACACCAGAGAAACTATTCGGTATTTACACGTGTGACTTATTCATTCACTCTTGTTTTCATGGCCACATCAAGCAGGCTCTTATCTCATGCTCTTCCCTTTCAGCAGGTTTCCAAGGGGCTCCGCTCTCATCTCTGCCTCTTTCCAGATGTCACATCCTCAGTGAGGTCTTCCCTGAGTCGCCTACATGCAATAGTAGCTCACATTCTCCCCTTCTTCCAGCCACACCCTATACTCTGTGTCTTTTCCTGATTTTTGTACTCCAGAGTAATTTACTACCATCTCATCTGCTGTTTCCCTCACTTCTATCACGTCTCTTAAAAGAATATATAACCCATGGGGCCAGAGACCTATTTCTTCAATTCACAGCTCTTTTCTTCAATTCACAGCTCTTTCTTCCAATATGACATTGCATTTAATAAATAATTATTTCAAGATCAGAGGAGTCCAAGAGCTAATTTGCAGATGAGAAAACTGAGGCTCAGGGAAGACCTGAGCTTTGTTTTGGTCTTAAGACAAAATGGAACCCTGCCTAGGACTCCACCTGCCTCTGCCCCTCTAGCACTGTCCTCACTATACCAAGCTTCTTCTGAACTTCCTGCAGCAGTTTCCACACTAGTTAGTCACTGTGCATTTTCTTTCTTCATAATTCAAACGAAAGAAATCGCTTTTCTCCTTACCTTTATCTTTTCAATTATTTCTCCATCTTCTGGAACAGCAGGGTCTATAGCAATAATGACATCTTCATAGCCATTGTCATTCAGCTGCACCAGGGAAGCATTTGAGCCCCGCAGCAGGTGTAGGACTAAGAGGGAAGCAAGGGCTCTGAAAAGCCCCATTGTTCCTCTCAAGTTGTTCACGAGGCTTTCCTTACACCTTGCTTTTCTCTTTTCTTTCACCATATATATATACACACACATATATTTATATACTCCTAAAAATTATAAGTGTTGTCTGATTATGGGTTGTTAGCTGTATAAAGGTCATTGCTACATATACGGGAAAATGTATGACTGCATTTACACAAGTTTTATTGTATGGCTGTGTAAATGACCAATAGACATAGAGGAAATAGGATCTTTCTACATAATGTACCGCACATTTTTCTCTTTTTCAATATATACTTTTCTCTTGAGACATATATTTTTATAGTCCCTAATTTTGGTTAATTTCCTAAATGTGGGCATGGAGTTTACATTTTGTGCAGAGTATACTGTGAAAATTAATAAAAGTTCATAATGAAATGAACAGACATAGTAATGCTAATGATTTTCTGCAGTTTGCAGAGCAATTTGTTTTCTAGATTGTCTCATTTAAACAATAGCAAAACAGAATATAAGATCATTCAATGTAAATAACCAAAAATGGGCAAAATGAGTACAAAACTTAAACATTTAAATGATTTTGATAAGATGTGAAATTTGATAAAGTCAATTTATTAACTAAAATGACTGTCCAGTAAAGAAGGAATAGAATTTGTTTTTATCCAAACATGTTAAAAACATCTGATATTTTTCTGTCTACTGTTGATATAGTAGTATGAATAATATTAATAGTTAACATTTCATCAGTGTTTTCCTGGGCAGAGAATATTTCACTTACATTTAACTGCAACTCTCTAAATTGGTATGTATATTTTCTTCTCTTAGTGTATGGAGAAACTGAGGCATACAAAGTTTAAAAGCTGCCAAAATCACAGAGGTAGTCAATATGAGAATCAGGATCTAAAATGAATATTGTTACCCAGGACCTGGGGATTTAATCACTCCATATCAAGACAATGTTGTTTCATAAGAAAAATAATGTAATAAGTTTAAAAAAGGAGAGGGAGGATGAAGGTCAGGCTACACACTGAGATAATGAAACAAGAATGCATTATCCTGAAATAAAGGGAGATAGGACGTATTAAAACACATGAGGACTGAAAATAGAACAGCAGAAATGGCCTTTAAAAGTTCAGTTAGGGATACAACATAGAAATTTGGCCGTGTCCTCCACCCAGAGGCTTTATCTTAGGTACCCAGATTCTGCCTTCTCATGCTGTCCCCTATGCCCTCTTTCCACGCCCTCAGGAATACTGCAGGCCAATAGCACGTTCATAGAATTACTATGTTGTACAGATTCTGTATGGAGCTTTTGACCTGGCAACTCCAGGGAAACTGAGATGGCCTAGAGTAGGTACAGGATGGAGTACTAAGGAATCCATCCTAAGTAGTTGTGCCTGGTTCCCTTGCTACTTTTCCTTCCTATTGATTCCTGCCTCTCATATCACTCTGGTGTGGTGACTTTGGGTACCAAATGCAGTCCCATCCCATAGTTTGTTCTCAGGAAATTATTTTTGACTGTTGGACTGAGAGACATAGTGAATGAATGTCTGAAACAAAAATAACAACAATGTCTAAACAGTAGTTTATCCAAGGTCTTTGAAATACTGGAGATATCTGGGGGACTTGGATCCTCTCTACGATTTGGGGGATTATTTGGTTTAGTTTAATTTGAGGAAGGTCTCATCCTTCCTCAGTAAGTTCTGGAAAATCTTGGTTATACGATGGGAAGGGAGACACTTTCTCTTTGCCTAAAGAGTTAGGAAAATCTCCCTCTAGGCATTGAGCAAATTTAGACTTGGGAGAATAGAAAATATTTATAACAGCCCCCTTCCACTTATTCCTGGCATCACAGGAACCTTGGAAATGGAGACAAATACATGTCCTCGATTCTTTTAAATCCATCTGCATGGTTCATAATATTAAATACATTTGCAAAGAGCGAAGTGCGGAGCTACTCCAGTGCCCCTGGAACCATCCCTGTCTATCACTTCAGATGGGTCCAGCTACTAGTGCTCTGTCTCCACCAAGCAACCTCAGAAAGACGTCTGGCCCAGGCTGGCTTGTCACAGGTCAGAGAGGACTATGCCAACTAGGTCTAAACCAGATCCACCTTAGGCAGTCAGGCTTACTTGTGTCCCTCAAGAGGGCTGAGATTCCTTGTGCATGACTGGGTCAAGGAAGAGCCTTGAAAAAAAAACACTGATTTTGCATTCGTTTTACTCTGCAATAGAAAAATATTTCTGTCAAACTCGCATTTTCAGAACATGATATGAATGATATGAAGTTTATTTTTTTCTTCCCTTTAAAATGAGTTGATTTAAAGCAAAATGTCAGGAAAATAATAGAATGGGTATATAAATGTGGCCCGAGCCTGAGGTTGGCATGGATATGCATGAGATTTGCAAGCCTATGCTGTTAGCACACAAAACATCATTTCCTTTTAAAATACTGAATATCATCTTGTAATGTAAATTAGCTATCACTGAAGAATTCCATTGATGAACATTTATGTTTTTAGATTTCTAGTTTAGGGGATTAGAAAATGTAAGGGGAAGCTTTTCCCTGTGTCTTTACTAGTCTCAGAAATTATACATTTAAAAATTATTTTTGCTGCTTCTCCTTGTTATTGGTGGTGCTTGTATTTCATCATTTCATCTTTTACCATTACCCATTGCTTTTATTACTTTTAGATTTATAATGTAATTTCAGCTTCCTCAGTTGATTGTTTAGTTAATTTATTCTTACTTATTAACAAATGTTGGCACAAGTCTACTGAGTACTATTTTGGCCATATCCCATAAATTTTAATATATTGTGTTCTAGTCTAGACAAGCTTTTTTGTTGGTTTGTTTCACTGATGTATTTGACATTTGTTTCTATATAGTTTATCAGTTTAATTTCAATTTTGATTTTTCTCTCTAATTCTACACCAGATTAGGAGCATTTGGTATATTTTATACTGAGACTATTTTGCCAAAATCCTCTCAGAAATCTTGACTATCTTACACTAATTTTACATTTGGTTGTTGTTATTTTTATTTTTAATAAGATCCTGAGGTTAATGTGTGCAAAACTGTAAGACTGGCAAATATTTTATTTTGCAAATATAATTACTACACATTCTCTTTGTATATAAGAATTATGCATAAAAAGATTAATTCAACTTCAAAACACAATTTAAGGCTTGGTTATTCTAACTCCACAAATGAAACAGTTTAAAGTTAAGTTAATAATTTATTTAGATATGATCAATGCAATCTATGTGCAGATAAGGAAATGTGAATCTCATTAATATGTGCAATTACTGTATGTTAACAGACAAACAACTGATTTAGGTGAATAATAGATTAACAGATTCTGTGATACAGTATTGAAAGGTAGAATGAATATTTAAGATCTTAGGAGAACTTACTTCCGGCCTGTTACAATTATCTTTTCAAATTTCTTTGTATTTTAAACAGATATTTTATTGGCTAAATAACACTCTTCCTCAAGAGCTATAAAGTAAAATGGACTTTGGCTCTGCCGTGTGAAATTTATTGTGGGAGAAATTCCTTATATATTTCTCACAGGAAGAATAGTATTTCAAAAGCAGGAAATAAGGTGTTATTTTTTTATTTCTTTTTTTTCTTTTTAACATTCCTTCAGAGGTTCTTCTCTGGGACTTCAGATGAAAAACACTGAATTCTCCAGGGAGAATTCTGATTACCATGGCAACGGAGAGGTCTTCTTTCTTGAGACTATGAATCAAAATCAGCTAGGGGAGTAATAGCCGCATTCCTTTTTTTTTTTTTTTTAACCAGCTGTCTTGGATTATCTTTATTAGACAGGGTAGGTATAGCAGCACTTACAAGAGATCCTAAGAGGCAAGTTACACTGCGATGCGGCCCCGCCCCGCTGCTCGTGGGCTGTGTATCCCAGTGAGCGCTCACAGTCACCCGTGTCGCCCAGCACGACGCAGCTCAGAGCCCGGTGTGGGGCTCAGCGAAGCATCTGCACTCCTGCACTGTAAGCCTTTCTCGTTTCTGTGAAGCTGATCACGTATCACCTTCCTTAGCAGCGTCTGGAGCGTGCGTTGGTGTTCGCGAGGTGGCTGGTGTACTTGGTCCACTACTTAAAAAGCAAAACAAAACAGTAATCATTTAATAAAAAATGTTTCTCCCTGTCCAGAGCCATTCACAGAAATACTTCTGTCCCAGGGAGACGCTCTTCCGCTGAAATATCTGCACGAGCTAGCACAGGCCTCCGCTGCAGCAGATGAGAGCGAGGAGCGCGCATCCGGCTCACTGCGCCCCTGCTCCCTGCTCGCAGGTGGGGTGAGCACTCGTGACAGAGTGGGAGAAACCCCATTCCGGGTTTTTTCCCCATGAAGTTTATTGGTACATTCAAAGCAAAAGTAGTTACACTCATCATTGGGATCTTGAACCTTTACATGATGTGTGAGAGACTGCTTGGGCCTGCATAAGATGGCTGCCCTCAACCTTAGCCTTTGCCTGAGTCGCTGCCGTGCTGATCAAAGTAGTCAGCGAGCTCGCGACCAATCTGGTCCCATATGGAAGGCACAATTTTGGGGCAGGTGATAACGAACCAGGGACATACTTCGTGTACAAACAGCAGAAATTGCAAGAGATCTTTCTGTCTAACTTCAATATTACGGTTTTTCAACTGCTTTTTTATAACAGAGATAAATTTAGCTCCTTCACTAACTGCGTTCCCCATATTCTCGGGGAACTTTGGGACGGCGGCTGTGCCTTAGCTAAGATTTGCCTAACCCCCCCCTGCACCACCCGGATGGGGCTTACCTGGTGTCTGACGGGCGGGCTCCGGACTCGTCGTCTCTCTGCCGTCCGATCGGGAGTCGGTAACCTCTGTAAACCACGTTGGGCGCCAGTTGCGGCTCTCTGGGGGGACCCCGTCCCGCGGGGAATAGGAAGTGAGAGCCGCCTCTTATTCGTGGGTCATCAGAGGCTGATCCGATCTTGAATGTCTGTGAAGGAAATCTTTAAGAAGTT